GGAATTCAATCTATTTGATGCTTCAGACAGCCTTATTGTATAAGGATGTCTTTTCTCGGTTGAAAATTAGAGAGCCCCAATATAAGACTGTGCCAAGTGAGCAAGAATGGGAGTTTGATAGAGAGATTAGTGGGAGGTTTAAGATTTTTTTTTCTATCACAGAGTTATTTTCTGGTACTAAGTATCTCACAGTCAATGTTTGTTTCCCAGCTTTGTGTGAGATTAGGATGACACTGTCTCAATGGGTCTTTTGTGAAATTAAAGTGATTAGAACAATGACAACAAAAATGGTGAAAAAATTTGATAAATATTGGTTAGTGATACATGGTGTTATTGGAGTTGCAGTTGTACTTGATCCTAGGTATAAGATGAGTGCATTGAAGTTTTATTTTAAAAACTTTATGGAGACAAAGCTGAAGATGAAGTTGATAGGGTTCATCAGATTTGTTATGATTTATTGCAAGAGTATCACTACCGAGTTGGTATGGAGACCGATGTTGTTGGTGACTTTTCTACTCATCCAGAAATTGTTACAAAGACCCTTTCAGAATTTGATTTGTTTATTAGTAGAAAGAGAAGTAAAAAAATGAAGAATGTAAGATCAGAGTTGGACCATTATCTAGAAGATGATGTTTTGCCAAGAACTTCAGGTTTTAATGTTTTGAATTGGTGGAAAGCTAATGAACCAAAATATCTGACTTTACAGGCAATAGGTAGAGACATTTTAGCTATTCCAGTATCCATTGTTGCTTCTGAGTCAGCATTTAATACTAGTGGAAGATTGGTGAGTCCACATCGTAGTAGACTGAGTCCAAACACGTTAGAAGCATTAATGTGTGAACAAAGTTGGTTGTGGAGTGCAGAGATGAAAGGCATTATTTCATTCAATTTACATATTATTATTTCACTTTTATTATTTATATTACCATGGAATAATTTCAATACTGAATTTATATTCTTTACTTTTTAGGAAATTCAACATTGGAATCGGTGGGCTATGCAACTATATATGACGATGATGAGATCAACTCGGATGAGTCATGTGCCACTTTTGTGTTAGTTGTCATCTTTTTTGTTTTAATTGTTAACATTTTTTACATTTTATTATTAGTATTAATTATTTGTTTTTTTTCTTTTGTTATTTAATAGGAATTCAAGTTGAAGGAGATGATGGAAGTTGTGTGGTTTGTATGGGTAATTTCTTATTTAATAACATTTTAAATTAAACATACATATTATATATATTTATTTAATAAATTAAATCATAAATTAACATAAATACATTAATTTATTACCATAGAATTACTTTAATCTAATTTTAAAATTTTATTAAAATTTCTTATTTAATAACATTTTAAATTAAACATACATATTATATATATTTATTTAATAAATTAAATCATAAATTAACATAAATACATTAATTTATTACCATAGAATTACTTTAATCTAATTTTAAAATTTTATTAAAATTTCTTATTTAATAACATTTTAAATTAAACATACATATTATATATATTTATTTAATAAATTAAATCATAAATTAACATAAATACATTAATTTATTACCATAGAATTACTTTAATCTAATTTTAAAATTTTATTAAAATTTCTTATTTAATAACATTTTAAATTAAACATACATATTATATATATTTATTTAATAAATTAAATCATAAATTAACATAAATACATTAATTTATTACCATAGAATTACTTTAATCTAATTTTAAAATTTTATTAAAATTTCTTATTTAATAACATTTTAAATTAAACATACATATTATATATATTTATTTAATAAATTAAATCATAAATTAACATAAATACATTAATTTATTACCATAGAATTACTTTAATCTAATTTTAAAATTTTATTAAAATTTCTTATTTAATAACATTTTAAATTAAACATACATATTATATATATTTATTTAATAAATTAAATCATAAATTAACATAAATACATTAATTTATTACCATAGAATTACTTTAATCTAATTTTAAAATTTTATTAAAATTTCTTATTTAATAACATTTTAAATTAAACATACATATTATATATATTTATTTAATAAATTAAATCATAAATTAACATAAATACATTAATTTATTACCATAGAATTACTTTAATCTAATTTTAAAATTTTATTAAAATTTCTTATTTAATAACATTTTAAATTAAACATACATATTATATATATTTATTTAATAAATTAAATCATAAATTAACATAAATACATTAATTTATTACCATAGAATTACTTTAATCTAATTTTAAAATTTTATTAAAATTTCTTATTTAATAACATTTTAAACTAAATTGTTGATAGAAAATGACAGTTAAGCTTAAGGTTAGAATTTTGTTTGGAATATGATTTAATTTGGAGAAGAAGATGAATATGAGACTATTTTTGACAATTGATCCTATTTTTTACTTTGATTTGGAATTTTTGGATTGTCCACTCTTAATTCGGGAGTGTGGCACACTTTGTTATTCTTAATGGAAAAACTAACGGTAACATTTCAATATAAAATTATAAGAAAGTTCTATGCATATATTTAAACTATAGAGAGATAAAGTACTCCAAAACAAAACTATACGCAAGTAAAGTTTTACCTTATTTTTTATATAACATGTATCCTAATAATACTTTTTCAAATTAAATTAGGATAAATTACACCGTTGGTAAAGCAATGTAACCAAGGGAGGAAGGAACTACCTTGTAGGATGGGGATACCATGATACTACTTATGAGCAGGGACAGACCCAAGTGTAGACGGTAAGGGGCCATGGCCCCCCTGCCTTGGCTTAATTGCTTTGTGTATACTGCTACTACTTTATATTCATTTCCATGTGTACGTGTATTGGCCCCCCCTCAGTTGATAAATGTTCTATTTAATCTTCACCCCCACTTTCTTATTTTTTTTATTTTGCTTCTAACTCGAATAATTTCATGGGCACTCTATGTGAAAAAGTATTCGCGTTGTATTTGATTAATGAATTTGGATAGAAATTTAAAAAAGAAAAGAGAAAAAATAAGTGAAATATGAACAAAATATATAATTATATTTCATATACATATATATTTTTTTTCTTTTTGTAAATTTCTACTCAAATCAATGAATCAAACACAATCTTAATATAACCCACTTTTATATTTCTATTGTCTCTTGTTATTCTCTCTTCGTTTTGTTTTCCCTTCTTCTTGTGTTTTATTTTATTTTATTTATTTATTTTTCTTCTTGTGTTTTATTCTCTTTTCTAACTCCACAGTAGAACAATTATATTATGATGATTATATTTTTATGCATAGTTCTTTTTATAATATTATATATTATTGCATTAGTATAATGAGTTCTATAATTCATATTTGTTGCTAATGCTATAATATTATATTATATGATAAATAAAATGTGATAAAATCTTATTCTCTCTTTTTTGTTTTTTTTAATTTTGAAATTTTTTGTTTTCTTGTGTAGTGCTTACTGCTTAAGTGAGTGGTTTTTCAAAATAAAAAATGCAATTTGGTCAGTAAAAAAAAATCTTAATTTAGAAAAAAAATAAATCTACATTAAATGAATATTTTTATTCTGGATTTTGGCCCCTTGAAGGATAAAATCCTGGTTCCGTCCCTACTTATGAGTCAACCATACATTACTTTTTAAAGATATTAAAGATATTAAAGATATTAAATTTTCTTCCAAATAAATGATCAAATGTCTCACATGGATGTAAGGTCCACAAAAATGTGGGATTTGCACCCATGTGAGACATTTTGGTCATTTATTTTATAGAAAATTTGAGACTTATAGCATTTTCTAATGTAAATGGGTAATGTTAGAGATACTAAATTTTTTACCAAATAAATGACCAAATGTCTCATATGGATGTAAGGTCCACAAAAATATGGGATCCACACCATGTGAGTCATCTGGTCATTTATTTTGTAAAAAATTTAGACCTATAACATTTTTCCATTGTAAATGGATAATGTTAGAGATACTAAATTTTCTACTAAATAAATGATCAAATATCATACACGGGTATAAGGTCCACAAAAATGTGGAGTCCACACCAATGTGAGACATTTAGTCATTTATTTTGTAGAAAATTTGAGACCTATAACATTTTCCAATATAAAGGGTAATGTTAGAGATACTAAATTTTCTACTAAATAAATGATCAAATATCATACACGGGTATAAGGTCCACAAAAATGTGGAGTCCACACCAATGTGAGACATTTAGTCATTTATTTTGTAGAAAATTTGAGACCTATAACATTTTCCAATATAAAGGGTAATGTTAGAGATACTAAATTTTCTACTAAATAAATGATCAAATATCATACACGGGTATAAGGTCCACAAAAATGTGGAGTCCACACCAATGTGAGACATTTAGTCATTTATTTTGTAGAAAATTTGAGACCTATATATATTTTGAAAGTAGTTTTGAAATTTGAGAGTTTGGGATGATTTGATATTTTGTTGTAATTGAATAAATGTATGTATGTGAGAGAAAATTGATTAAGAATTAAAGAGGAGGGAGAAAAAGTGATTGATTAATGTGTAAGAGAGAGACAGTGATTGCTTATTCTGCTTTCTTCATCAATAAAGTTCTCTTTTGCTTATCAAAAAAAGAGAGAGACAATGATTTTAAAATTTTTTTGAGAAAAAAACACAAACCAAGCAAAATTTTGGAATTTTTTTTTTCGAAAACAGCTCTCCCAAAAGCAAACCAAACAAGCCATTGATAATTTATTTTGTAGAAAATTTGAGACGTATAGCATTTTTTAATGTAAATGTGTAATGTTAGAGATACTATTCATGTGAGATATTTAATTATTTATATTTTAAAAAATTCGAGACCTAAAATATTTTTCAATATAAATTAATAAGAACGTCGATATTAATGGCTTTCCCATGAAAACCCTACAATCAAAGTTTCGAGCCCTATAAATACAGCCTTGTGGAATGTCCAAAAACCATCCACTCCATCCATCCATATCTCTCTCTCTCTCTCTCTCTCAAAAGAGAAATGACAGAAAGAAAAGAAAACATAGTGATGTTCCCATTCATGGCACAAGGCCATATCATCCCTTTCTTAGCATTAGCACTTGAGTTAGAAAAGAAAAATGGATACACCATCACCTTTGTGAACACTCGACTCAACATCAAGAAACTCCGCCCTTCGATCCCTCCAAACTCATCCATTCGCCTCCTTGAAATCCCATTCAACAGCTCCGACCACGGCCTCCCTCCGGATTCCGAAAACACCGACTCTCTCCCTCTCCCTCTCCTCCTTCACCTCATCGTCATCTCTCCCGCTCTCGAGACTGCCTTCCGAGACCTCATCTCCGGCCTCGTCCTCGAACATGGCCGCCCACCACTTTGCATTATTTCTGACATGTTCTTCGGATGGTCTGCCAAAGTTGCTCATGAATTCAGTGCATTTCATGCTATATTCAATGCTGGTGGGGGCTATGGCATGGCTGCTTTTCACTCTTTATGGCTACACCTTCCTTACAAGACAGTGAATTCCGAGGAGTTTCCTTTGCCGGGCTTCCCCAAAGGTCACCGGATTCACACCAAACAGTTACCAGAACATTTTCAAGTAGCAATGCCCGGTGATTCATGGTGCTCATTTTCACAAGATATGTTTCGAGATTGGTTCGAGAGTGATGGGATTTTGTTCAACACCATAGAGGAGATTGACCATGTTGGGATGGAGTATTTTAGGCAGCAAATTGGCTGTTCCGTGTGGTCAGTTGGGCCTATTCTGTCTTCCTTGGGAAGCAAAGCTCGTGCTGGTGATGACGCTGAAGCCACAATGCATCTTTGCATGAAATGGCTTGATTCGAAGCCTGCAAATTCAGTTCTTTATGTGGCGTTTGGGTCACAAAGTGCACCATCACCATCACAAACAATCCAGTTGGCCATGGCTTTGGAAGCTTGTGGCAAAAATTTCATTTGGGTCGTTAGGCCACCATCGAACTCAGTCACAGATCATGACCATAATGATGGAGAATGGTTTCCGAGAGGCTTTGAGAGGCGTATTCAAGATAGCAACAAAGGGCTGCTAGTGCAACAATGGGCACCCCAGTTGGAAATTCTGTCCCATAAATCTCTCTGTGTGTTTTTAACCCACTGTGGATGGAACTCAGTGAAATTTTTTGTTTTCTTGTGTAGTGCTTACTGCTTAAGTGAGTGGTTTTTCAAAATAAAAAATGCAATTTGGTCGGTAAAAAAAATCTTAATTTAGAAAAAAAATAAATCTACATTAAATGAATATTTTTATTCTGGATTTTGGCCCCTTGAAGGATAAAATCCTGGTTCCGTCCCTACTTATGAGTCAACCATACATTACTTTTTAAAGATATTAAAGATATTAAATTTTCTTCCAAATAAATGATCAAATGTCTCACATGGATGTAAGGTCCACAAAAATGTGGGATTTGCACCCATGTGAGACATTTTGGTCATTTATTTTATAGAAAATTTGAGACTTATAGCATTTTCTAATGTAAATGGGTAATGTTAGAGATACTAAATTTTTTACCAAATAAATGACCAAATGTCTCATATGGATGTAAGGTCCACAAAAATATGGGATCCACACCATGTGAGTCATCTGGTCATTTATTTTGTAAAAAATTTAGACCTATAACATTTTTCCATTGTAAATGGATAATGTTAGAGATACTAAATTTTCTACTAAATAAATGATCAAATATCATACACGGGTATAAGGTCCACAAAAATGTGGAGTCCACACCAATGTGAGACATTTAGTCATTTATTTTGTAGAAAATTTGAGACCTATAACATTTTCCAATATAAAGGGTAATGTTAGAGATACTAAATTTTCTACTAAATAAATGATCAAATGTCTCACATGGGTGTAAGGCCCACAAAAATATGGGTTCTACACACCATGTGAGACATTTGGAATGTGTTTGGTTTGCTTTTGAGAGAGTGATTTTTCAAAAAAAAAAAAAATTTTGGGGAGAGAGTTTATAAATTTTTTGGTTTGTTTGGTTATATATTTTGAAAGTAGTTTTGAAATTTGAGAGTTTGGGATGATTTGATATTTTGTTGTAATTGAATAAATGTATGTATGTGAGAGAAAAGTGATTAAGAATTAAAGAGGAGGGAGGAAAAGTGATTGATTAATGTGTAAGAGAGAGACAATGATTGCTTATTCTGCTTTCTTCATCAATAAAGTTCTCTTTTGCTTATCAAAAAAAGAGAGAGACAATGATTTTAAAATTTTTTTGAGAAAAAAACACAAACCAAGCAAAATTTTGGAATTTTTTTTTTCGAAAACAGCTCTCCCAAAAGCAAACCAAACAAGCCATTGATAATTTATTTTGTAGAAAATTTGAGACGTATAACATTTTTTAATGTAAATGTGTAATGTTAGAGATACTATTCATGTGAGATATTTAATTATTTATATTTTAAAAAATTCGAGACCTAAAATATTTTTCAATATAAATTAATAAGAACGTCGATATTAATGGCTTTCCCATGAAAACCCTACAATCAAAGTTTCGAGCCCTATAAATACGGCCTTGTGGAATGTCCAAAAACCATCCACTCCATCCATCCATCTCTCTCTCTCTCTCTCTCTCTCAAAAGAGAAATGACAGAAAGAAAAGAAAACATAGTGATGTTCCCATTCATGGCACAAGGCCATATCATCCCTTTCTTAGCATTAGCACTTGAGTTAGAAAAGAAAAATGGATACACCATAACCTTTGTGAACACTCGTCTCAACATCAAGAAACTCCGACCCTCAATCCCTCCAAACTCGTCCATTCGCCTCCTTGAAATCCCATTCAACAGCTCCGACCACGGCCTCCCTCCGGATTCCGAAAACACCGACTCTCTCCCTTTCCCTCTCCTCCTTCACCTCATCGTCATCTCTCCCGCTCTCGAGACTGCCTTCCGAGACCTCATCTCCGGCCTCGTCCTCGAACATGGCCGCCCACCACTTTGCATTATTTCTGACATGTTCTTCGGATGGTCTGCCAAAGTTGCTCATGAATTCAGTGCATTTCATGCTATATTCAATGCTGGTGGGGGCTATGGCATGGCTGCTTTTCACTCTTTATGGCTACACCTTCCTTACAAGACAGTGAATTCCGAGGAGTTTCCTTTGCCGGGCTTCCCCAAAGGTCACCGGATTCACACCAAACAGTTACCAGAACATTTTCAAGTAGCAATGCCCGGTGATTCATGGTGCTCATTTTCACAAGATATGTTTCGAGATTGGTTCGAGAGTGATGGGATTTTGTTCAACACCATAGAGGAGATTGACCATGTTGGGATGGAGTATTTTAGGCAGCAAATTGGCTGTTCCGTGTGGTCAGTTGGGCCTATTCTGTCTTCCTTGGGAAGCAAAGCTCGTGCTGGTGATGACGCTGAAGCCACAATGCATCTTTGCATGAAATGGCTTGATTCGAAGCCTGCAAATTCAGTTCTTTATGTGGCGTTTGGGTCACAAAGTGCACCATCACCATCACAAACAATCCAGTTGGCCATGGCTTTGGAAGCTTGTGGCAAAAATTTCATTTGGGTCGTTAGGCCACCATCGAACTCAGTCACAGATCATGACCATAATGATGGAGAATGGTTTCCGAGAGGCTTTGAGAGGCGTATTCAAGATAGCAACAAAGGGCTGCTAGTGCAACAATGGGCACCTCAATTGGAAATTCTGTCCCATAAATCTCTCTGTGTGTTTTTAACCCACTGTGGATGGAACTCAGTGCTTGAAGCTCTCAGCAATGGAGTCCCAATGCTTTCGTGGCCGATGGGGGCAGAGCAAAACTTCAATGCCAAGATGTTGGAGGAAGAGATGGGACTCTGTGTTGGGTTGGCAAGTGGGAGCAGTGAGGTTAATCATAAAGACATAGTGAAAAAGATTGATCTGGTGATGGGTGGGTCAACTAAAGGGAAAGATATGAAAAACAAAGCTTGTGAGGTTATGGAAATGCTTAACAATGCCAAGATTGATGAGAAAGGGTTCAAGGGGTCCTCAACCAAAGCCATGGAGGATTTTCTGTATGCTGCATTGTCAAAGTCTTGTAATTATTAAACCAGCCTTGCAGATCAGAGTCAAATGATCTAAGGGGGAGGCTGCTTTCAATGTTTTTACATATATATTATTCCAACACATGTGTTTCTGTTTTCTAGTTTCAGTTTAATTGGATTAGAAGGTCAATGCCTTGATTCCAGTTAAACAGAACAAAAATCACTATCTATTTTTTACTGTTGACTTCTGTATTTGCACAGATTAATAAAATTTTATTAATTTTTCTTAATTGTTGATGTATAGCTATCATTTATTGATAGGGTTGTAATCGTTCGGTATGATCGGTATTTAGGTAAAAAATTACACCAAATTGATAATGTTGATTTTATTATTTTGAATACTAATACAGACCGCTTCTCCTATCAAATCGTACCGAACCGATTGAAATGATTTGGTTTGATGCGGTTTAATCGGTTTAGAATTTTTCAAACTTGAACTACTTTTAAATATAATCATTAATCTATATAAAAACATTAAATTAGTTATTTGCCTACCATTTTAAACATATCCAATCTATCCATTTAACACATACTTTTCAATTCATAAATTAACAAAAATAAAAACAAAAAAAAGTTTAAAAATACTGAGATTTCAAGAACAATGAGTTAGAATTAAAATTATATATAATAAGATTTTACAAACTTAAATTATAAAGATGATAAATTTAATTAATTAATGTTAATAATTTATTATACATATTAATATCATTATATTATGGGTAAACTATCAATAGGTCCTAACAGTTGGACTTAATTCATATCAAGTCCTATTGAAAATAAGTCTTGGTAAAATTATCGCTAAAAATAATTTTTTTTGGTAACAATTTTTTACATACGTCGCTAAAAATTGACAATTAGTAACTCATTTTTGTCATAATTTTTATAAATTGCCGCTAAAACTTACAATTAATGACTTTTTTTATGGCAAAATTTTCTCATAGGACCTATTAGACAATAAGTCTACTTATTAGGACCTAAGTCTACTTATTAGGACCTACACGTAAATACCTTTTATATTATTAGATTATATATATATATATATATATATTATAAATACAATATATGTTAGAACGGTCGATTTCGGTTTAGATCGGTGTACAAGGTATTTAAACCGATGGCGAACTGAAAATCGAAAAAAATCAAATTTAAAAACCTCATAAACCGGTTTTTGTTAAAAAATAGACCAAGTGTAATTAATTTGGTTCAATTCAATTACTTTAGTCAATTTTTTATTTTTATTTTTCGTACATCCTTTTTTATTGAAGTGGACTAGCTAATAATTTTTTTTTTTAATTTATTAATCTGTATAAAATTTTCTTTTCGGAGAAACCCAGTTATATTGTAGTTACATTTAACATTCTTTGAATTTACGCCTATCACCTACATGCATGTGTTAGCATTGATGTGTGCATGCACGGTTCCACACGCCATTTCTGAATTTTTTAACTTAACCTCACTCTTGTTAAATGTTAACAAGTGTTCTACGGATATTATTTAATATTAGATTGTGTACAAAAAAATATTTTGAAAATATGCTAAAAGATTAAAAAATATATTAGTTTCAATAAAAATGTATTAAATTTAGTAAAAAAATATATTGTGTTATTCAAATTTTTGTCTTTTGCTTATTGTGGGGAAGTATTTTGCGAATGACACCACATAGGTAAGATAACTCCGAGATGTCGGCTAAGGTGCCACGCGGATGAGTCTTGTTGTTGAGGTGACTATGGAATTGCTGAGATGTTTTGTGGTAATGCTAGAATCTCGAGGTATTCGGATAAGGAACAAGAGTCCTAGAACAGAAGAGGCTCTCAGTTTGGATAATGATAAGACTCATGAGGAGTTTATCCCTATCTAGCCGAGAGTCCAAGATGAGCATTGAGTCTGAGTCCAATCAAGTGAGGCTTCTAGGGGACTTGGTCACTGCTGGTTATAAAAGTGGGGCACCCTCGTAGATCTGAGGTAAGTTTTTGAATTGTGAGTTTAAGTATTGCATTGATATCTGTGAGATATAAGATTCACTGACTTAATCGTTGTAGTGCCTCCAAGTGGACGAACCACTGTGGTATTCTCATCTTCTTGTTGGCAGGTAGTTCGCTTAACCTATTCTGCCGGTGCTCTCCAACTAAGTTCCCTGTTTGGTTGTGTGGTCGGAAATCAACACCCACAATTTGGCGCCATCTGTGGAAACTTAGTAGAATAGATGGCCAACAACGGACAAGCAGAGAG